TGCACGCCCTTCCTACTCCACCCATGTTCAGGTGCCTACGGGCCCCAACCTGTTGGATGCAACCTTGGCTCATGAAAACCCATTCAACCCAAAGTAGAACCAACTAGCTTTGTGATCATTCTACAACTGTTAAGTAGCCAGTCATCTTCCGGGCAGCATCTTCTGCTGGGCAACAGCTTCCTGTCCCGTGCTTGGGCACGTGACTGCGTCAACAGGCATTTTTATCGCTGGGCTCTATCCCTGTGGTGTGGGAAGGTGCTGGCATTCCTGCGATACTGTGTTCATCTTCAAAAATGGGGTATGGTCGCATTCCACTTTTTGCAACATTCAGGAAGAACATCCAGTCTCACAGCCTATCAAATTCCTAACGTTTGCATCGGTTTGTGAGTGGAACGGTGTGGGGGGAGACAGGAGGTGCATTGTAGTCTCACGAGACTTTTGTAGGAAGGGGAAGGGGGCCAAGAGTAGGTGTCCATGTGCAGATAATTGTTCCATGCCTAGAGCTCAAATATGGAATCCATTCTTGCCTGTCAAAAACAAGGCAACTGAAAAAGCAAAAAAAAAAAAAAGGAAAGGAAAAAAGAAAAAGAAACTGCCCAAAACCAGGATGCCTATCAGGCCTGTTATTGGCAGTCATTTAAACTAAAAGTTGAAGCCCATTCATTTATTGCACAAGACTCTGCTAATCACATGTCAAGTGCACGAGACTCTGAGGCATCAAGAATCAAAAGCCTTCACTGACTCATGCAAGGGCCTCGAGCAAATCACTGTCTTAGTTTCCAAATCAGTGACACAGGAAAAATGAGTTTGTTATTGTTATTGTTCCTCTTCTCCTCCTCATCCTCCCTCTTCCTCTTCCCTCCCCCCGCAACTCAAGGCAAATATACTTGTGTCCCCAGAGGAGGGAATAAATGCTTCCTGGCCCTCAGGCTTGTAAGGCTGATCCCCACTTGAACGAGCGCGACAGGAGGGCCTGCTGGTGCCTAACAGCACTGGTCCGGGTCCCCATATCTTAACGCTGGCACCTGTAAGTGCAATCCACAACGTTAGGACCAAGTCAACCAAAATGAGGCAGCTTTAATCTAAGTGATTTTATTTTAAAATGCTGAACATTCACTTCCTGCCTCAACACTGTCCAGTCAGCAAGATGGGTTGGTAAAAATTGGGGTATCGTTCAACCTCCCAGCTTAAAAGCCTCCCACAGCTTCCTGCCGTAGCTTCTGGGATGACATCCATCTTCTTTCCTCTGACCTCCAAGGCCATGGCCGATCTGCTCCAGCCTCCCTCCCTGCCTCCTGTACTAATCTCTCGGCCAGTGTGTGCCAGTCCCCGCCACCCTTCTGTTTCTCACACATGCCAATGGGCACACATCTGAGGGTCTTTGCCGGGGCGCTCTTCCCAGTGTGGAAGGCAGAGGCCTCCAGCTGCCATGTCTCTGTCCACAGTGATGGCAGTATAGCCAGGCAGTGCTACACTACATTTCCTAGCCTCCTTCGCAGCTGGGTGGCTCTACCACCAAGTCCTCTCCAGGGCAACATGAACAGAAATAAAGTGATCCGCTTCTAGGCTGGGCTTCTCCATGCTGTTTCTTCTTCCACCAGGTAGGATGAAGCAAGAGCAGATGTCAGGCTTACGAGATGTGAAATGCCTGGTTCCCTGAATGATCATGTGGAGGAGAGCTGCCCATCAATCAGGAATGCTTCTCTTCGAGTGTCACATAGGCAAGGAAAAAACTTTTTTTTGTAATAAATTATTAAAATTTTGACCTTTTTGTTTCTTCAGCTTAGCCTAACATACCTGGCAGGAGCTTTGTCAGCCAAATCTCAAAGGTTAGCTTCTCAGAACATTCTCATTGATTATTCAGCATTAAGTAGCTTCTAGTCTCTTCCACCATGCCAATTTACTGAATTAAAAAAAAAATTTTTTTAATGTGTTGATTTTAGAGAGAAGGGGGGGGAGAGAGAGAGAGGGAGGGAGGGAGGGAGGGAGGGAGGGAGAAACATTTTGTTGTTCCATTCATTTATGCATTCATTGGTTGATTCTCATATGTGTCCTGACTGGGGATCAAACCCACAACCTTGGCATATTGGGGTAATGCCCTAACTGAGCTACCCAGCCAAGGCCCAATCTACCAAATTTTTTATCATAGAATATTACTACTCAGCATTTTGTTTGCTGACATTCTTCAAAGAGACTGCTATAGTGTCCATGGGAATATGCACCTTTGCTCAGTTCATGTCATCTGGCACAGGATACTCAGCATTTATTGAATTAATATCTCATGATTAATTTTTTAAAGATTTTATCTCTTTACTCTTAGAGAGAGGGGAAGAAAGGGAGAAAGAGAGGAAGAGAAACATCACTTTGTAAGAGGTACATCAATTGGTTGCCTCTCAAGCACCCCCAACCAGGGACCCAGAGTACAACCCAGGCGTGTGCCTCAACCAGGAATTGAACCAGCAACCTTTCAGTTTACTGGCCAGCATTCAGTCCACTGAGCCAAACCAGCTGGGCCTCCTGATTCACTTTTAATTTAACAGGGATGCAGATTTTTTTTTTTTTTTTTTTAGCTGTCTACAGAATTAAAAGGACAGAAAGAGAACCAGAGCTGATAGAAGGCTGCTTCCCCTTATACCTGATTCAGGTCTTTCTGCTCTAGGAAGATAATGAAGAACCATGGTCAGCCTGCAGCCATTAGCAGAGAGGTGCTGTTTGTCAAAGTCCCAAATTAGTCTTCTACATGGGTGTAAGAAAAGTGCTACTTAACATGGGTGCCTGCAAACTTACGCGCCTCAGAGCCACCTGTCTTTTAAAGTTTACATTAAATTCAAATTCCACAGTCATCCTGGTCTAGAATCCCTAAAACTTGCAAACTGACCTCAAAGACCTGGTTGGGTGTCACCCCACTCATGGTACAACCGCTGAGGGCCTTGCAAATGAGAAACTGAAGCAGTGTATTGTGTCCATGGGTTTATTCATTCAAAACCTACTATGCACCAGGCACTGGGGACATAGCAATGAAAAGGATAGATGTAAACCCCTGCCCTCATGGAATTCATGTCCCCATGGGGAAGACAATAAACTAAGCACAGATGTGAAATGCAGAGGCAGTTAGCTAATGGTCACTGCAGTTTCAGAGAGAGTAGCCAGAGAAGACATTACTGAGGTGGTATTTGAGACCTGAAGGAAGTGAGAGAAAAAGTCAGGAAGGCGTCTGGGGAAAGAGCATTCCAGACTAGGGAAGTCACAAATAGAAGGGCCCCGAGGTGGGAGAGGGCTCGGTGAGGTCGAGCATGGAGGTCACGGTGTCTGGGGGCTGGGAGATGGGCAGGAAGCAGCAGGCGAAGGCCAGGAGGTAAATGGCGGCCTGGGGGGCATTCTGAGGACCTTGGCCTTTCCTTTGAGGTGTGGACCCAAGGAAGGGCTTTGAGGAGAGACGTGACCTGCTTCAACAGAATCGCACAGGCAGTTGTGCTAAGAACAGAATGTAGGCGGAGAAGGGCAGGAGCAGATACCCAGGCGAGGGGGCTGGGTGGCTGGGAGCGGGGCTCTAGAAATGACCAGAATGGGGGGAGGCATGGTAGGAAGAACAGGTTGGCGGGGGGGGGGGGTGGAGGATCCTTGGCTCCAGCCACTTCAATTTCAGACACCTGGAAGAATCTAGGACAACTGCTGTTGGCTTTAGTAACTTTCTAGGAGGAACCAAGCGACCCTAGGTCTAATTTTTAAAGGACAAAATCCATAGATAAGGACCAGTATACTTGGTGGATCCCATCTGGTGGATAGCTGTGAACAGGGAAGCAGCGCCAGGTGGCGATTTAGCACTTTTATGTAACCTCTGTCGCAGCTATTCTGCCCGTGCCAACACTTGCGTATGGCGTAGGAGCAGATGGCTTGTCTCCGGTTGTGTACCAAACGACAAGAAACCACAATCAAGACCTGAAGGAGAGAACAGGGCATCACAAGAGGTTCTGGACTGAGGTCAGCTGAGCGCCTGGATGAGACATGCGCCCTCTCCTTGGGGGCATGTGCGTGTGGTCCATGAGTGAGGTGAAGTTGAAGGGCTGCTAGCTGTACTCGGCGTCTCCTCCGGCACACAAGTAGATCTCTTAGCCTCCTGGCAGTTTGGTAATACGGCCACATGATTTGAGTTCCCCAGCGCAACGTGGGTAGAGAAGTGTGGGTAGAGTGGGGTACACCACTCCCAGGCCTGGTATTTTACAAAAACTTCCACGCGCAGCCCTCCTCCTCTTTTCCTGGCATGTCAGCTGCGAAGGCATCTTGGGAGCCACATGTTGAACAAGGCAGAGCCCTGGGAGCCTAGGACCCTTCACTGACTGCATGGGGCAGAGCTCTCTTCTCCCCACACAATTGCTAGAACTGCCCAACTTCTGGAAATCCCCTTTAATGTTCTCAAATCTCTTATGCAATGAGATGAATACTACTATCTAGTATCTAATGAGCACTCACTATGTGCCAGTGATTTTTCTCAGGACTTTATATGCATTAACTTGTTTAATCCCTGTAACCCCCAACGGTCCCTATTTTACAGATGAGGAGACTGGGGCACAGAAGGTTAGACAACTTACCCAAAGTCACATAGCTGGTAAGTGGCAAAGCTGCAACTGACACCCAAGAAGCCTGGCTCTGGAGACTAGTCTGAACCACAATACCCCACCAACAGTGTTGCTTCTATTACGGTGTATCGATTGCCCATGCGGAACCACAGAATGCACATCTTCCACGTCCACAGACAGCTACCCTCCTGCAGTGGCTATTTCAAAGTTACTTCAGTGGCTTGTGGATGCCCATTTCTTCTGGGGTTCAGGCACATGGTAAGTCACAGAGCCCAGGCAGAAGTTACTTAAAGGGACAGGGAGATAGAGACAGGGATAAAAGGTTATGAACCATCTCAATTTAAAAGAAACTCATCAAACAAGAGTCTTATGATAAAAACTTTATTGTCTTAAATATCAAATGTTTTACACATCACTTTTCTTCAGAAAGTTCCTATTAAAAAAAAAAAGAAGAATAAAATAAAGTGTTTTAATTACTTAGGGCTGACTTACACTTCATTGTGTGACAAAAACTCAAACCCAAATGCATCTACTTCACTCAGCTGCAGGCTGGCCCTCTTGTCCAGCCCCTAAACCAATGGCACAATGCAACCAACTTTGGGATTCCTGAGTTTGGTTCCCTTAAGTTCTCAAGAGTTTTTCAACTCTCAAAACCAAAGCATTATGGGCGAGACTGAGCTATGGGCAGGCCTATCTTGCCAATCAGCCCAGTTCTCGTAAGATGCAGTAGTCTCAAAGCGTCAAAAGTCAGGAAAGCATACATGAGCGATCGCAAGAACAAAGAGCAGTTTCTATTTGCTAAGATTTGCCAAATATGGCTATAAAACTAGTAAACAAACCTTACTTGAGTGCGAAGGCCATTGGCCCAACTCGCCATGAAGATGAGATTTTGAATTAAAATGAGCACATCAACTTTCATCGTCGGTACACAGTGAAAAAAGCAAATGCAATTAGTATGTGGAGTTGCTCTATCACCAGAACTATCTCAAAAGAATGAGTAGGAGAATAGAGAGTGGAAACATCATCATTCAGAGAAAAAGGTCATGGATGGTGGCATAAACCCAGCTGTGGAGCCTTCAGGGAAGGAAAAAGATATCTGGACAGCATCAGGGAACCTCAGACCAAAGGCATTTAAAAATACGGCAACGTGACTGCCTCCGGCAGGACATTAGCAGGTCTGCCTTTTTCTTTGAGCCACACATGCACTCATTCAGGGTTGTGCAAAACAAACTCCTGGTAAACAGCCTCATTTCCCATCAGACATGTATTTCCCAGGAAAAAACATCCCAGCATGCCCCTTCCTCAAGTCAGCTAATGAAAACCTTATGGTACATGTTTAAAGAGAAACAGTTCTGTAAAAATTACTCTAATTTTGTATTCCACCGCTCTGTTCCAGGTCTTTTGTAGTTTCCTTAGTTTTTTTAGGTCAAAGGAATAATCTCTAACTTCTACACCCTTGACCCATTTCCCCTGCTGATTTCATTCCACAAGACCGGGCCCTAAAACATATCAGCTATATCCTCTCACCTTAGAGCCCCCAAAGGGTCTAGGTTACCAATCACCAATATGTAACTTATTGTAAACATCTTAAGTTACTAAAGTCCAGAAATTCTCCCTGTATGTTTTACGGTTACATTATGTGGTGACACTTTAAACGATAGATTAAAGAAATGCCCTTTTGATGGAGCTGTCCTGTAGAAAGGTCGCTACGAGTACTCGGTTCTCACAAATGCCCACCATCCAGTCCTGCGCCCTCACTGCGTTTTCGGCTCTGGAGCTCCGTTTTCATATTTTGCATTCAGCTGCTTTACAACAGCAAAGCCTGCAGAATCCTCTAAGTCCCGTTGGCCCAGATGGATAGTGTTCCAGGACAGCCCTGCTCAGGGGGAGCGGGGAGGGTGCCGCAGCACCCACCCGCCCTCCCTCCACCCTGCTTCGGAGGGCCTGATGGAAGACAAAGCAGTCGCTGGTGCATGGTTAGGACTATCTGCCGTATTTACTCATCCGTCTACCCTGCTCCCCCCTCCTTCTACCAAATGACTTGGTGCAGGATAGTTCTGAAGGAACAATAAAGGTGAGCCTCAAGACCCTCCCACGTGTGCCTGCTGACTTCAAGAGGGCCATTTTCCGTGACCCCCCCACCCCCATACTTCCACTTTCATTTCTCACCAAAATTTGATGCCTCTGCTATTTGGAGAGACTAAGGCACAAGAGAAAATCAAGCCCCTCAAAGGTTCACCCCTAAATTCTTTAGTTTAATAGAATTTGAGCCATGATTTTACATTCCCAGTTCTCAAGGACATGCTTTGAATTTACTTTAAGAGCAATTGGCATTTTAAGTTCTAGAGAAAAAGCTTATTTTATGGAGCTAAGGTAACATTCACCTCCTTGGAAGGGAAACTAACTTTCTAGTTTGGACAGAGCACGCCGAGTCTCCAAAGTCCCAGGAGAAATCTGCCCTTTCGGTATCTGTGCTAGGGAACGGCGGAGTGCACGTGGCAGCCAGTGCCTCTTGTGTGTGTTACCGGTGGTAACTCTGGAGCACGTGATAGTGCAATTATCCTGCTCACCCTCAGGGCGGGTGTCAGGACAGGCAAAGGGAACCAGAAAGCGATTCTCCTGGGCAGTTATTTGCAAAGCTGTTCTTTTCATATACATGGAAAGATTAAAAATCCCACGTGAAGGATATATTTGTAAATATGAAAACTGTTCGCTTTTTCATCTATGTAAAGTTAACTATAACATACTCATCAATCACACATCTATATATACACAACAGCTGGTGGTTAAACCAACTAAATGTTTATGGCTTTTACTAGAGACAGAAGTGGTAAGGGAAGAACAGGCAGATGCCACTTGAAATGGTTATACAGCCAGTGACGCAAAGCCTCATGTATCTGTCCATTTACTGCAACCCTCTTGCTAAAGTTTTGGGAAAAAACACATGGGGTAGGCTGCAAGCAACATAGTTTTAACACACACTAGGTACCCAGTTCCCTTTGTCAAACAACTGGTGATCTTTCATGTTTATGGCTAAGGCCCAAACCGGGGACAAAGGCTATTTATTGACGATGCCTGGGGGCCTCAGCAGGTACAAGTGGAGATCATTCCTATCACCTTCAACAGCAAAATCTACCTACAGGTGTCCGGTTACCAAGCACTTCCTTGCACACAGGAACCAACTTAAGGGAGAATGCCTAAGCTATACACAAAAATCTCTCTTTGGTGAATAAACTGGGACCACCCTGGAGGTAAGCGCTAACCAGACAGCTGTCCAGTAGAGTGGCCCGTTACTGGTTAGGCTGGCTGTTACCAGTTCTGCTGGCAAGCAGAGGAGTTTCACAATTCCATCTTATTCTTGGAAAAATTAATCTCTAACTTCTGCACTTCAAATAAAAGCTGACAGTGCAGGCTGACCAGTGTCATGTTCCTTAATAATTCCCTTTGTGTCCTAGAACTGAATTTACAAATGACTCAAAATCCAAACAGTATCAACAACTTTACTTTCATACAAATGATGGACAGGAAATAAGATCTTAAAAATAAAAAGCGATTATACATTGGAAAATGATGAAAAAGCACATCTGGCAAGTGGGATAAACTCAAAAGTATTCCTAACAAGAACTCATTTACACCTATAGGCCTAATCCCTTTTCTCCTGAAAGTAAATATACATACACACAAAAAACTATTGCCATGAAGCCCCCCCCAGACTGGCATTCCACACCCCACCTTGGGACCGGATCCCCACCGACACACGAAGTCAGCGGCCAAGGCTCTGAGCGCTGCGCACCCCGACTCACAGCAGACGGCGCGGCCTGTCTTCACTTGGAAGGCCTTCTGGGAGAAGTCTCTTGTCACTGTTACGTTCTTCCACGCCCCTCTGTGGCCCTAAAGGCTTACAAGCTTAGAGTAAGTTCCCAATCTCCACCCATAAAGCGAACGCAGGATGCACTGCACTGCCACTGGATTCTGTTGCGATCACAGAGAGCACCAACTACTTAATTACAAACAGCGCTCAGGGTCCGTTGACAGAACCCTCTCAGCAGCTTTCCAGTGTGTCTGATCTCTTTGATGCAGGGCAGGCAAAAGGGTCTGCAGCATGTGACTGCCTAAAACATTTTAAAGACAATCTGGCTCACCCGTTGCTCTGAGTGCCCTCTTGGAAACAGTCAGCTGCAACTTCTGCTGTTTCCTAACCCCAGAGGATCATGAAGAGTCTAGGCAACTTTTCCATCATGTTACTAAAGTCTCTTAACACACCCACAAACATCACAGCCAAAAGAAGGTGGAATAGGGTAGAAGAGAAATGCCTTTAAGTAGCTCCAGATTACAATGCCAGAAACTCCTGATAGGAGCCTCCATTTTGATTGTACTCAACGACGTAGTAAATTCTGATGGAAATGAGCTTTCAAAGAGTCAGACTTTAGACAAAAATCACTTAACACTAAGTTCATAAACCGCTGTTTCAAAGGTTCTGTTTGAAACACACTGCAAGGTGTAACCCAGAACTGGGAATTATCATGCTCAAAATTCTTTTCAACAAAACCAAGATTTCCAGTTCCTACTATGGACACAGGAAAGCAGTCTCCCTGCCACCCCACCCTCGGGGGGGGAGGGGGGATGATGTAAAATCTGCCCATTAGGATTATTGCACAGTGGGGCCCATAGGACAATGACTTCCAAGGGCTAGTCCTCATATTTAAAAAGGCCACAGTGAGTACATCAATATACTATGCCCCACTCTAAATGGACATGGTAAACACAAATGTGATGAATCTTGTTTAAAAAAAAGGAACTCCTGAGGAAAGAAACAGGATGGAATATACTACCAAGGCCACTTGAGTCAGAAACTGCAATTACTATTTCCGCTGCCATGAAGCACACTCACCAGACTGACCATTCTAAGCACCAAGATGAACCAGTGGCACAGTTCACACTTCAATGTTGCACTCAGATCACAGCTCAAACTGAGCTTCAGAACTCCCTAGTAGATGAGTTTAGAAAGGAAACAGACTGCTGGCAATCAACCCATTGGCCGAACTTCAGATCATCACTAGTCATTAAAGGGTGAGGTATGATCAGTGAGATGCTAGCAACCCCAATCTCCAGGAAATTCCAAGGTTTAGGCCATTATTTTCCACTCACAGTTCTTGAAACATCACCGAGACATTTGTAAATGGAATTGCAGGATTTTTCTTCTTTTTAAATCTGGGTAGCACCATGTTCCACTCTTAATTCCCCCACAATATCCCATCCAACATATGCAGCAGCCTGCGATGTACAAAGTAACCCAAGTTTTAAATCCTCCTGATTCATCCCTTTAAAATGTCAAATCCTACCTAACCATATGAGTAACAACATAGCACGCTAGGATATTGTTCAATTATTCTTCAATGTCTTGTTATAACTGACGAATCGTAATACACAAAGCACTGAGGAGAATTCTGAACACCCAAACCATGTGGTCCAATTTATAAACTGACAATTGAACCAATAAGCCATAACTTGCCTATAGCAGAGACGCAGCCTATATGTGAATTCAATTTGTTCTTGGCTGCATGGGTGGTGGGATTTCTCAGGGCTTCTGCTTCTCAAAGCATTCATTCTCATTCTAAATGGTATGCTATACACAAAATCATCAGTTTTATTCCAGAATACATCATCTTAATGAGAATAAAAAGCTTTCATATGCACATACTGCCAATACATTTTAAAAGGCCCAAATTTTAACAAATAGAAGACAAAATCATTAGACAAGAGATTGTAAATTACTTTGGCTGAAAAAAATCTTTAAAAAAAATCTGGCTCAACATTCTGCTCACAGGTTTCTACATGTACTGTATGTATGTATGTGTGTGTGTGTGTATAGCTTTTTATTTTTAGGGAATGGAGTATGGTCTAGCCCATGTTTCCATGGTTATGTAGGGACTACAATGTTCTTTGCTAGCAAAATAAGAAGTGCAAGGTCTGCATTTCCATCAACTCGATGCAAAGCCCCAAGAGCTTCCTGCAAAGTAAAGCCGGCACGGAGAATCCGGTCAATGTCTGCAGCAGGAAAACTGAATGGTGGAAGAATGGAGGGACTTGAGGACGGACAGCTGGTAGGTGGCTCAAATTCAAGGAGTGGCCCTGTAGCTTCAGGACAGGTATCTTCTCTGGTCTCAGGCCTGTCTGTCACTGGATTCTGTGTGCCCTGACCCAAATCTTTAACCAGTATGAAATCTGATGACAAAGACTTAGTTTGCTCCAAAGTCTGATTGCGTGCATCCTCCTCACTTGCGAAAAGTCTGGGTGAAATTTCTACACCTAAGGTGCAGTGTAATTGATTAGACGTTTTATCTGAGGCTAGGGTGACAGAACTGCTCTCATTTACTGATTCTCTAGACTTGGGGACACCTTCCTTATCAGTTAATAGGCCATCACCTGGACCCCTGAAGTTAGTATTTTCTACATCTTCTATTCCAGCGCCAGTTGAAGTGTCTGTTAATTTTTCTGTCTTCACTGATGCAGATATGGCCTGACGGAAGGAGACTTGTGAACACTGTTCACTCTGGGTAACTGTAAGCTGCTCATTTTGGACCCATCTTTCAGAAAGGATCCCAAAAGTTGTTTGGCCTTCAGTTACTGTTTTTGACTGACAGATAACTTCTTCAGATGGATTTTCTGAAACTGGTTTACTACTAGTGACCAGAAGTCCATGGAGTTCCTTCAAGGCTGCTGTTATAGATGAGCAAGATCCCTCTGCTGCCTCCACACAGGGCTGACAACTGCCACACAGACTTACAGAGGGGGAGCAACCCCCACATTCTGTATTTGTCTCAGACATTTCCACACTACTTCCTGGGAGCTGTGAATTCTGAGTGGAAATGGAATTACTCAAAATTTCAGATGGAGGGTTGCATTTTGATGTTTCCACTTCCATGGAGGGATTATCCAAGGTGAGATCAGATGCACGGATATTCTTGACACTGGCATTCTGACCATCTGCTGAATTAAGCACAGCAACTGAGGACTGTTCGACTGTATCCACTTCCATAAGTGTTTCTGAATTTGAGCAGTCAAAGCATTCTGAAGATAGACTGTTTCTCTGTGTACAAGGAAGGTCCATATTCTGCTGCAGCCTGTCTCCTTTCATTGTAGCTTCTGCATCAACACTTTCTGGTTGATTTTGTTGCCTTTCTCCAAGAAGTTCAAAGTCCCCTGTGATACACAGATGTCCTCGGTCACACAGCGCATTCTGTGGTGCAACCTTGCGCTGCTCATTCTCCGGCTCCTCGTGCTGCTGAAGGCCAGCCACTTGACTCAGCGCCTGACATGCTGGATGCCAACCTTCTTCACCTAGAAACCTCTGTGTTTCTGGCATCCCAGTGGTTGTGACAGATACTTCCTGTCTTGGGTGGAGATGAGATTGGAGGCTCTGGGTGCTTCCTTCAGCAGGAACTTTCTCCAGGTGATCTGCGACGGTGGCTTCTCCGGGTGAATTCTGCAAAGGTATGACTGGGCTCTGGGCTGCCGGAGCACTGTCTGCTGAAGGGGCGGGATCAGCAAGGTCCTGGGTGGGGAGAGGTTCTTTCTTTTCAGAGGCTACCTGGAATTCGGCAGAATTTGAGGCCTCCACAGCTGTAGGTTCGATGCTGTCTGGGTCACTGGGCTTGACAGGGCAGACTGAGGCAGAGACAGAGTGAGCAAGACCCGCGGGGTTACCGATCTCAAGGCTCCTTCCTGAAGGACAGGCCGGATGGTCACGCCCATCTGGAGTTGGTAATGATGACATTCCCAGTGAGGTAGTTTCTTCACCACTTTTCTCTGTATGGAACAAAAGGAAAAGGAAAGAGATGAACAGGTTACAAAGGCCACTAAATTATCAGAGGATACAAATCTAAACAGGATAGAACTAAATCAGGTCCTTAAACTTGGGTTTGTTTATACAAGACTTTTACAAAAACTGTTCTCACTATGGCAGACAATTTAACATCACAGCATCAAAACAAGAGGCAGGCACGTTCTTAATGAAACAGGCATATTGTAATTCACTATTTTAAAGTGTCATTAATAAACATCCACAAGATGTCTGGGTTAGTGCTCAAGACGGAAGGACATTTATGTATCTTTATTCTCAGTGAGACCAGAACCCTGGAATAGTTTCCCGGGTGTGTGCTCTTCACTGCTTGTTCTGAAATCACCTGGGATGTTTGCTAAGCTTGTCGATCCTGGGACACCACCCGTGGTAGTAAGCCGAGGAACCCGCATTTCCAATAAGCGTCTTGGGTGATTTGCAGGCGCATTACAAATTCTGAAGCTTTCTGCCCTCAAACGCCTCTCCTGCCAATGCGCTTCCAGTGTTTCAAGTGTGAACACTGAGGTTATAAATGAGACGTCTAAAACCTGCTATATCTGGGACAGAGCAGGAATCATAAAGAGAAAGAATGTAATGCTTGGGGACCTTCAGAAGACAGAAGAGTAAACACGCTATTTCTTTCTATCCAAACTTCCAAAAATAGTAAACTACGTGAGCACCGACTCGGAGAACAAATGTAAAGCTAAAGATTAAACAGATTCAATTCCTATCAATATCTTACCACACAATGTAACACTGAAAAGATTATCAGTTACTTTATCACACTAACAGAGTACAAGGAAGACCGACCAGGTAGGTATTTTAAGGGCAGAGCAAGGGGGGTGGTGATAGCTCGGCCAGTGGAGGGACGTAATTTTTCCACAGGCAATGATGGTTTACATCCGTCGCAACTTTCTGACCAGTCATGCGAGATAGCAGAGTAAAACACTAACTCACTGTAAATAGCATGTCATTAATTAAATACCAGTTCTAAATCTCCTTTTGCCACTGATTAAGTTAAAAACTGACCTCTATGGCTCCGGCCAGTGTGGCTCAATTGGTTGGAGCATTGTCCCACACACCCAAAAGTTGGGAGTTTGATCCCCGGTACAGGTGTGTATGGGAGGCAACCAACTGATATTTCTCTCACATCGATGTGTCTTTCTCTCTCTCTCTCTGTCACCCTTTCTCTCTAAAATCAATAAACATATTAAAGAAAAAAAAAACCCTGACCTCTATGCAGTTATTGTAAGATGTTTAAAAGTCAAAACGCTGATAAGAGCGAGGATTTCACAATAAGATCTATTACGGCAGATGCAATTCCATCGCTTCATGCTGAACGTTAGCATCCAATGTGGGAGCTTGATCCTGTCTTCAGAAGTCATGAAGCAATGCAGTTACAATTCAAATGGCTCTAGAGCATCCTAATCCAACACTGGTTAACAGCATCAGAAGATAAATCTGTGCCAGGAAGTTACTGACTTATGAAATTATCTTACAGTTTAGGGGTCAACAGGAAAACAGCATTTTCTCACTGCAAACTATATCCATTAGAGTCTAAAAACACACTTATTAGTTTATCTCTCTAAGGCTGAATCTGAAAAAGATTCAATACTGAGTTACTGTGAACAGAAAAGACACATTGTAGTGAAAATATCATGTTAGCAGTGGGGTGGGGGGGCGGGGCGTAGTATGATAATGGCCTTCTGGCAACTGGTATGACAGTTACAACAACTGGGTGAGGTCAAGGTGAACACAGCCTGAATGTATTTTGTACTCACTATGAAAGCAGCATATAGTCCTCCTGTAGCTGAGATGGTCAGTTTCACTGGCCTAAGTCCTAAATGTAGGGGAGGACTGGGTCAGTACCAGAGGATAGGAGAAGACGATGAGGACAATGGATATTAAGAATAATTAAACGATGCCTGCTTTCAACCCATCCTTACAATAAAAAGAAAGAAGAAATCAAATCCTATGTATCTAATTACAACCAGCCTGCAAAGCCCTCTAAAGTCCTACGGTGATAGTTTAAAAAGGTCCCTTTTCCTCCTCTTGATGCATCAGCCAATATACTCAGGCCGACAGTGACCGTATTTGCACTGCAGGGAACAGAGGCAGAGGGGGGAAATCTGCAGGCCAGGCAGAGGCAGAAGCAGTCTCGGCTCTTGTCGCTGGGAAAATAAAACTTCAGCCCTGCCTTTAGTATCGATTCTGTGGCCCTGCACAAGTCACCTGGCCTGTTCCCATTTTTCTCCTCAACAGAATGAAAATTTCTGCTCCTCTGTAACTCTAGGTAGTTGTGTGCAGTTTTTCAGAAAAAAGGGACTTATGAAATCCCTAACAGCCTGGTCACCTCCAACAACAAAGGGCTGTGATACTGACATTCTTGAGTTGACATTCACAACAGCCAGATGGACCCTGTTTTTACTGGGATTTCCCCACCCCTCGACTGTTCTAATGATCGATCAATCTTTAAATTGGGAATGATGCTTAGATGTGCATATGTAGGCCAACACACAAACATATATACAGGCTAGTTGTAACCAGATTGAACAAGGTGAAATGGTGAATGACGGACGCTAAATTCCAGAAGTGCTGCAGATACAGACCACAGGCGTGACGGGATGAAGGCTGAATGCAGTGTCTATAAATACCTGGTCTGGGGCCCACTCCAGCTGCAGTACACACACACTACATGCATCATGGCTTCTGACGCTCTGTTTGAATTAGGAAACAGACAAGCAAACTTGGGTTAACAATGCAAACCACACAGCATGCAGGGTTATAGTCTCCACTCCTTTGCCATCTTTAACATCAGGAACTGGTAGAGTCAAAGCTGGGGAATGTTCCCGTAGTTTGGACATCAAAAGTTTTGTTGGTTGCTTTAACTTTCTCACAATACATAAAGTAATGTGTTAACTTCAACAGACTTTTATAGAACTTGGAAAGAAATTAATTTCACGCACAGAAAATTCATGGGCAAACACAAGACAGGTGGAAAAAAGTATGAACTACGTGACACGGACATCTCCTTATGGAGTGAGGGTAAATGAACACACGTAACCGTCACTTTCCAAATTTCTTTCTCAGTTGAGATTTATTTTTAGAAGAAATTAAAACCAACCATGATTATCTATCCTGGTTTAACATCTTTATCTTTTAATCAGTTTTTAGAAAACATATCAGATACACCCCCTATTCTGAATTATTTTTCAATTGATAGAAAAGATAAAGATACTTTGGTATAGAGTAGCTACCAAAGAAACATTTTTTAGCAAAAATACTTTCACCTACTATGTCCAGAGCTTTGATTTTGATGATACTGTGAAGTTAATGGTCCAAACAAACAGAACCTGATGTTGCAGAATTATTTCATTATTTAAACATTACAAAAATCAGCAAGCCAATACAATGTCAGTAACATGAGGTCACACACGTAAAAGGCCATTTCCTTTGAATCTTTTAAAATTGGTACATCTCCCTCACTATGCCTAAAAACATGTGGTTTCTATTTTAATCTCCTAAACTTTTAAAATAAAAGGTAATTACCCAAAGAGAGTAACTATTATTAATTTAGAAAGCACCACTACCATCAGCTAGCATAAAACAAAAACAAAAAAAAAGAAAAAAAAGCACCAAAACTGTGCAGAAGGAAATCGAGATTTCACAGAATGATAATATATCCTGTTTTATTACTAAATACATAGTATTATGACTTAGCTGACAAGTTACTAAGAAAATGTAAAAACCTTCCAAGTAGGTATGTCAAACTCATTTAAGTTTGCCCTGCAGAGATTAAAACTGTGAATTCATTCTGTCTGGTTGATCAAAATTCTCCCCTTCCTATGAAATACTCAGGTCACATTCAGAACTGTACCTCATACGTAACACGGAGATACGAGGTGGCGGAGGAGCAGACTGTGAACAAGGCCAGCTTGGAAACCTCCATCTGCATTCCACGCCCATTCTAAGAGGCTCAAGGCTGACCCACTGGATGTTCTCCAGTAATAAACACTGGCAAAACCTTGGCTGCTTATTTTTAAAGCTCTGATTTTTTTCTCTCTTTAGAAGAAAGTTATTGCCTGAACTTGCAGTTCCAATCCACTTTATTGTTATCAGAAAACGTACCATGTGATATTAGCCACTGATGAATAATTACAACTCAAGATTATAAAATAACCCAATCTTAAAAGTTAATTCTCTTCAGTTTCTAGAAAATGCACCCCAGACTCACTGTTCTGTGACAGAGAGGAAAAATTACCCATGGAGAGGGAGGGCAGCAAGACTGTGCCCCTCCACCATTTTACCCAGAAGCTTCGTCTGGGCTTTAGATTGAAATAAGATGCAACAATTCAGATTTAAAAAAAAAAAAAAAGTATTAGGTAGCTTTATTTCAATAGCTCACATACTGTTTTAATTTGACCCAATGACACACCACTGTGACCTCATTAATTGCACAAACACTACATCGATTACTATTCCTGTCTTTGGTGGCAGCACTTTCAATAGATATTAACAAGGTTTGGGGTGCTCAGTCACAGAGACAATGCTACTGTTCAAAATAAATGGGCCTATGAAAGGGAAGGAAATTTTCAGGGCAATACCACTGAACTTAAAAGGAACTATCTGCTTATAGTTATAATTTTCTTTAGGGTTTAAAAAAAAAAAAAAGGCTTATCAGGAAGCCTACCAAAATATGCCTAAGCAAACAACTCCCCAATCTATCTTGCACACAGCAACGGATTGTTGTTTCTCTGGTGAAACAAGAGTTCTCTCTGCTGTACCTAGAGACGGAAGGAGGCGGTAAGAGGACAGGAACGTGTCTGACAGGACGATGAGACTGATTATGAGCTGGGAAGGTCCTTGTCCTCTCTAAAGCTTGACCTTCCCTGGCTCACCCACTAATAACAAGAGTTTTTCAAGAGCCCAGCCACAGCAAATACCTGCATCCTGTATGGATTTCTGAAGGGCTTCTGCTAGTTCTCGGTCTGCAATCTCCTCTGGCCTCATCTCCTCCCGCCCGGCCCCATATGCCAAGCGGGCACACTCTGGTAGCTCGCCCTCGGGAAGGAAGGTGGTCTGCGAGCCCGTGGTGCCGATCACGAGTACATTTTTCTTGAGGTCAATGGAACACTTGGAAGGAAGAAACCAAAGACCGATGACAGCAGATAAAACACCACATAGAAACATTATGATCCTCAATTTAAAACTCCATTCACAAAGAGCAACACTGACAGAGATAGAAGGTGGTTCAAAGAAACTTTACCTAAAAGTTTTTAAACTTTAACCTAGGTGACATTGTTAATATAGCATCTGCTTAACTTTTAAAGTTTATAACAGAATAATCTCTATATGATAGTTTATACTTACCTGTCTAACAATGTATGTTCAATTCTTTCTTTTTTTAAAAGATTTTATTTATTTTTAGAGAGGGGAAGGGAGAAAGATGGAGAGAAAGTTGTATAAGTACAGCTTATACTTAAACTCTGTACTAACAGTCTTACAAAATGGTATGTAGGAAAGGTAATCTCTATAAAACTATTCTTTATTTCATACTTTTCTGTGTATTTTCATAATTAATTAATATAGGACAGTCACCCACATACAAGCTTTATATCTATAAAGTTGGAGACTCCTGGTCTATACTATGACTAAAAAAATAAGGAAAGACAGTGACAATAAAATAGGTTTTATTTATACATTCATTAACAATCCTTCTACTCAAAATTCTGCACCTTGATTCAATGCAATATACATTTTATAGGAATTTAATATTAAAAAGATTTTAAAGAGGATTAGTGACATAAAAATATCCACTAGATATGAAAAAATTGTTGTAAAAAATTTTTACCCAATAGACACTAATTGCTTCTTCACTGGGAACTGTTTGTCTATTAACAGATTATTAAGCTTCACAGTAGAAATATAAATATCACTATAAATGAATATAGTTATAAATCATTGTCCCTGTATTAAATAAAAACTTCTATTCTCAACATCTAATGTATACCTTCTCCCTTAATCCTGAAGCTCTTCTTCCCAAGTACTGTTGACCAGCTACTAAGGGCTTACTAAACCTACACTTGCATAAAGTGATCACTGTGTGTTACCTATACTTCCCTACAAACTCATCAAAAAATTACTTGAATTCTAATTAGAAACTAAAAATTGCATAAGGGAGCCACTGCCCATTTTAATCTCAAAACAGATGGCAAGAATTAAGAATCAGAGAGATTTCACAAAAGATTCTATTTCTACTTACACATAATTTCAAACTTTGTATGACATCAATCGCCCATTAAGGACCCTTCCAGGTTTGAAGAATCATGCTTCTTAGTTTCCCAGCATACGCAGCCAAGAGAGATGACGCAATAAAAACCACATAATATACAAAATGCCAATGCAAAAAGCAAGTGGAGCGCCAGTACCTGATGTCGTTTCAGCATGTCCAGTCCCAGAAGCATGTCCATCGGCTGCTCCTCCAGGATAGAGAAGGAACATGGCAGGAAATCTCCTTCAATTTGAACCTGAGCTAAAGGACATGAAGAAGAGAAGAGGTTATTAATTTTTTGCCTCAGAAGCCCAACACAAACTTTGGAAATGATTCTACCATTCTGTGCCTTGCTCCTCGCAATCGGCCAAATCCCAGGCTAAGCATGCAAAGAGATGAGGTTTAAAAAGAAAATCCTGTAAGACAAATAATCAATTTTAAAAGCCAATGAAGGCACCAGCTGGTAAAGAGGATTTAAAAAAAAAAAAAAATGAAGAAGACCAATTCCTCCAAAAAACCACTCATTTCCCACTTACAAAAGGTTTTCTAAAAGGAAAATAGAATCTGTACACTTTATTTGCTTATTTTTTTACTTACTGACTTTAGAGAGGGACACATCAGTTTGTTGTTCCAGTTGTTTATGTGTTCATAAGCTGATTCTTGCATGTGCCCTCACCGGGGACTGAACTTGCAGCTTTGACATATTATGACAACGCTCCTATCAACTCAGCTACCCAACCAGTGCAAATCTGAACAGTTTAAACCAAATCAGCCTCCAAAAAGTAAACTGCTTATCACTGCCTGTTATAATCAAGTTTCTATTTGCCAAACCAGAGACAGCACCAAGGCCTGTGTTTGGTTGGAGCCTCCAGACTTGACCCTTTCATCAATTACTCCTCTTGCCTAATATGTAAGTATATCTTATAAACGGGAGAGTGTATGAAATATACATATACTGTAACGCATAATAAAACAAACACCCACACATCTCTTCCCCAAATTAAGAAATAGAAAACTGAGAGGTCTCCATATGTCCTACGGATCACATCTTACTCTTTGCTACCTCCTACCCTCCTAACTTTCCTGGGTTCTTTTTTGTTAATCACTCCCAGCATTTCTTAAGAGTTCTTGCCTACTCTGTATGATTTCTAAGCAACACATTGTTTAGTTTTGTGTTTTTGAATTATGACTTCCTCTTTTACTCCAAAAATATTCTGAGGCACGTTATCCCTGTAGCTGCACATGACTCTGTCTCTGGCTTTACATCACCCTGAGAGCGTTGTAAGGTCTAATCCACTGGAACGGGAGCGCCCATTCCACTGCTACGGGGCTTCCTGCTGTGGGCAATGCTGACGTGAATCCTCCTGTCCTTGTCTCCCCAGTGCCATGGGTTCCTCTAGGGTGCATTCTAAGAAGTGGAATTACAGGGTTCTATGGCATATTGTGCTCAACTTTGCTTGGGGATGTTGAGTTGTTTTCTAAAATGTTTCCAGCAGTGCGTGAAAGTTCCCACTGCTCCACATTCTCATCAACACTCAATTTGATTAGATTTAAAACCTTGCTAATATGGCAATATTTCTGCATTTCCCTGGTTAATAAGGAGGTTAAGTAACTTTTCATATTAACCATTTGGGTTTCCTTTCAAAGTACTTATGTAATTTTTTATACTGTCTTTCTTACTGAGTTGGAGGATATACAACACGCAGTCTGTACATTCTGAATGTGATTTGGTCTTGAGAAAAAGACCAAATCTTTTATTAGTTACACATATTGCTAAAATCCTTTCCTAGTTTGTGTTTGTTCACTTTTTTATGATGTCTTTTAATGAAAAGTTCTTAATCTTAATATGAATGAATTTATCAAATAATGGCCTTCCTATCTTTGAAGGAACCCCTTTCCTATGCAAGCTATCCTCCTACATCTTCTTCTAAAAGCTCTGACTTTTGCCTTCCACATCTAGACCTTTAATCGACCTTGAACTGACTTTTGTGTGTGATGTAAAGAGCTCATGAAAAACTTAAAATTAGCGCATGATGTCTCTCTCAGACAGACCTGGATGGTAACAGCAAGGATTCTGTTGACAAATGGGGGAGAATCGCCGTCTCCAACAGACTGAGTCTTCCCAGCCACAGTACAGCTCTCCTTATTGCTGTAAGGTTTTCTTCACACTGATCAGAATCAAAGTTGCAAAACAGTACACCTTGTCCATCCATAAGGAAGGACACAAGGGACTGGTGTTACATTGCCTCCTCCTATTATCTTCTCACTTAAAAACCATGAAAGGTCCGAAGCCTCAGACTCTGAAGCAACCAGTTTGTGGTATTCCCACTCAATTTGGGTCCTACTGTGTTTAGGAAAGCATATGAGAGTAAGGTTATTTAGGAACTGCTTTATCTACAAATTAAAAGGAGTGAAAACTAATAGTACATGATTGTACAAGGTCATTGAAATGAATATTCATTCAGTGCTGGAGGTAGCAGATTGGAACCAGTTAGCAATATCGAGCCTTAAGTATCCATAAGCTTTGATTCGGTACTTAACAGGGATCCTGACTAAGGGGAAAAAAATCAGTGTACATAAAACTACACAAAAGTCTACTGCCTTGTCACAATGACAAAATATTGGGGAAAAGTATATCCCAAAAGTTGACCATTAAACCTATACCAACAGATTGTTACTCATTTATTTAAATGATGCTTATGAAATTTATAGTAACACTGGGAAAAATATTACAAATGTTAATTTTCCTTAAAACAGAGTATAAAGTTCTATATACATCATATGACTACCTATTACAAGGGAAAAAAATGTATGGAAACAAAGAAGTATATTTAAATGTTAGTAATGGTTCATCCTCACCTAGAAGGGTTGAAGATATTTTTAGCTTGTTTTCACATTTCTATACTTTTGAAATTCTCTACAATGAGCATTTATTAAATAGATTAAAAGAAAACAAAAAGAACTTTGATGAGAGATGAAGGATTCAACACATGCATTCATCTCCATTTATTCCTTATTAAAATCACAACAAAAACTTGTTGAAAGGTAAAATCACTAAGGCCAAAGATAATGAAAGAGACAAGAGAAACACAGTTGTGGAACAAGGAAGTAGATGGCAGTACGGAAAACTAAGCAGCAGCCCAATCAACATCACAGAACTCCCCAGAGGCTGATGAAGTGGCTGAAACAAGTACCTCTGACAACAGGGGCAGAGGTAGGTCCAAAGCAGGGAGACCAGCTGAAGGGCTATGAGGCACAGTTAGACCCGGGGGTTCCTCTCCTGCACTCTGCTCCACCAGGCATGTACCTCCCTCTCTCCTCCTCAACAGCAGACTGGAGGGTTTTTTCTCAAGAGGGTGAAACAGAGGCTCTCATAACAGAGGCGGGCATGGAGGAAGACGGGGCGCAGCCACAAGCACCTACCCCAAACCAAGGGGGCTAAGGGAAAGCCTGCCAGGATGCAAGCCGCCTCCCCCAGCCCAGCCTCCAGGCTGCCTGGAGCCACCACGCTGCCCGCCCCTCCAAGCAATCTTCCAAATAGCCTTTTGGTGTCCAGCTCTTTGATGACAGATGCCAAGGATCCCCAGACCCTTAAAAACCATCTAACATGAAAGACCAAACAAACAAACAAACAAACACACACACACACACACACACAAAAACATAGTAACGGAAAGGCTAGAAGACAAAGTTGAGGCAATCTCACCAAAAACCCTGAAGAACACAATGAAAGAAACAAAGTTCAGGATAAGAGATTATCTTTCCTGAAGAGCAGACACCCTACAAGGTAGGATCATTCTCAAAATCAGTTTTTCAGATTGAAAGGCACCCAGCACAGTGGATGAAAAGAAAGCTACACCCAAGTATATCATGGTAAAATTTCAAAACGCTGATGTCAAAGGAAAGACTCTACGACTTTCAGAAATGGAAATCTTTCACATAAAGGATCAAGAATCAGAACAGCACCCAGCTTTTCCACAGCAATACTGTGAAAAACTTTGAAGGAAAATGATTTCCAACTTAGCCAGACTGGCAGAATGTAGAGGGGAAAAAAAGACACGTTCTGGTAAGTTACTGGAAGACATGCTCTAATAAACTCAGGAGCAAAATAAACAGAGGAAGACAAGGGATTCATGGAGTCCGACATGAGACCAAGAAAAAGGAACCCTCAGACACCCAGTCAAGGGAGATTCCAAAACGGTAGCCATGAAGCAGCCTAAACAGTCCAGGCTTTGGAAGGAGCATCTTCAATGGCATGAAGGTACCGAGGAGATTCACACACCTAGGTTAAGTGTTTCAGGTGACTAATGCACAAAAAACCCGAATGATGGGGGGGTGGGGATTATTAATTCCAAGAAAAGGAAAGCACTAATTTTCAATTAGATGGCTACACTCTCAATAATATTTATATAGTCAAATCAGTAAACAACACTATAAACATGCTATTTAGGAATGCGGAGGCAAGCATCAATAGAAATCTGCTAAAATAGTTCAAAGGGATAATCTATAAAAAGCAGAAAATAGAAGTACATTGGGGACTGATGTTTTTTTGGCCTCCAGCTGAAACATGCACACATATATGACTTTAATACAGAGTTTAAATTTCTAGGGCTAAGGCGCGCTGGGTCAGGTGTACCTGTCACGAGGAAAAATTTTAACTCCACTACCCTACCAAGACTCCCCGTGCCTTTTACTCACCTAGATGCACCCTTCCAATAATCTTCTGGGTGCCCACTCCTTTGGCGATCCCTGCCCACCGACGGTCCACCAGCCTCATTATATTACACCTCTCTGCACACGCTTGGCTCATAATAGTCATCTGGGCACCTGGAGGTAGAGGGAAATATCAGATAATAAAGACAAAATCCACACTGTGGTAAAATGAAAAATGCAGCACTAAACAGGACAGGAAGCAAGCACACCCCCATAGACTTTGTCTACGTAACACTGTTCCTACCTAGCGTTTTCCTGATATGCTTAGTTCAACTTTCAGTTCCACAGTGGAATCTGAAACAGTGCAGAAACTTGACATTGAAGGAAAGGAGAATCAGCTGGAAAGGACTTTCACAAAGTCCAACTGTCTACACATGGCAATGCTCACTAAGTGCTACTTTGCATTCAGATCCACTTTCACAGTCTCTCTCTAAACATCTCACCAAGTTATTTTTACTTAACTTTGGGACACTCTAATTTACCAGTTAAAAAAAAATACACCATACAGTCTTTCCAAAAACTGGAAGCGAACTCCCATCGTCTGCTCCGACAGTCAGACCCTCCTCCCTTGAAGGAAGCCCGCAGCAGGGTCTTTTCTCTTGCAGCCACATGCACCCACCCACAGTGGGAGCAGGCCTGGGGGAAGGCAATCTGTTGTTTATAAGCCACCCAGTCGGTGGTATCCTGCGATGGCAGGCTGAAGAGACTCAGACACAGGCCTTATATTCAAAATGCTCTGAACCCCCCACTTTTACCGGGAGAAACGTGTCCCCTTTGCCGCTTACTCACGCGGACGCCCCGCAGGGCGTCCCCTCCCTGCCTCCCCTCTGCGAACCCCGCTCATGCTCTCAGGCTCAGCTCAAGCCCACCTCCTCCCGGCTCCCTGTCCTTTCCCGGCGACGTCTCCTCACATTCAGCCCCACGGTTTCCGCAAGCACTCACTGGGCACCTCGCACTTTACGGGCACTGAAAGGTCTTGGCGCTTGAGGAAGGTTAGATTCAGGAAGGCCCAGGAATAATGAAGGAAAAGGGAACCGGGGAAGGCCACTTGCTTTTTTCTTCCTCCCTCGCCCCTTTACTCCATAAATGCTAGTTCCGGATGCACAGGGCGAGAACGGGGCCCTCTCAGGGCCCTCGCGCTCCTCCTCAAGCCTTGGCTCCCAGCCCCGCTCCCCTGCCCGCGGAGACAGCTCAGTCCAGGCACTCTTTCTTTCGAAGCCACACCCGAGCATCCCAGTTAGAGAGAGAGTGTGGTTTCCGGGTTCATCCACCGTGCATCTGACTTTCCCACAGTGGCTAAGACTTCTGGCATCAAGCAGGCCAGGGGCTGAGTCCAAAATCTACTCCTCGTGAACTCTGCATGCCTGGAGGAGGGGCTGTCTCTCTCTATGCCTCAGTTTCCTCGTTGGTAATATAGGAGTAATAGTACAACACAGTTGAGGGGGACATTTTGGGGATTGAATAAAAATGAATAAAGTCATAATATACTAACATCTTAAGTTACTTGGGCACAAATTAGTAAATAGCATGAATTTTGCATGAATTAGCATTGCACAGGAACCCTATGAAGCAAGCACCAGTTAGCAAGCCTAGTCCCCCAAGCACTCAGCACAAGGCCCTGCACATGGCACTCAATGGACATTTTAAAAACCGAATAATCCCCCGTCTGCTTTTCCTGGGAAGGTATGCATCTCAGTACAAACGCTTAACAGCTGAAACCTAGTATGTGCTCAAGAATTTGTAGATGAACAAATAGGGGGAAACTTACTTGAGCAGGAGCTTTTACTACCCTAGAAAGTCGTCCCCAGAATAAAGACACATGACCACTGTCACCCCCACACGGTGCTGCCTGTGTGTGAACAGCAAAGAGCTGTTACTGAGAGATAAGGTGACTGTTAGTACAGGGATTATCTGAATCTGCAAGTGCAAAATTCCCTGCCTCCTTACCCGGCTGTCAAGTTGTTTCAGGGCAAGAACCATGACCTATATTCCACACTCCTCAGTGCTCCTGGCAAGGTGACAGCACAGGGCGGCAAAAATGTTTGTTTGACCTACACTCTGTGCAGCTCCTTCTTATGGCCCCTTATCCTAAACCCAAAGCCTCCCCAGTGCCCTAGGTTTATCCTAGAAATTCAGGATGCCCAGTAAGGGAAGCAGAAGATAAAGGAGATACTGCCCATACAAAACTGGTGAAGAAATGACTAAAGAAACAAACCTATCACAAGCAAGAAAAGACTGGCAGGTAACCCCCCCGCCCCCCATCGCCTGGTTAGCAGTCCAAAGGACAAACGCCATCTTAACAGACACCAGGGCCTCCCCTTCTCCGTGGCAGGCAGAATGGTGGGTGGAGAGACAAAGACACAAAAGATGGAGCCGTCACCTGAGTCAACAAAGGCTTTCACAGGATGTCCATTCACTTTGCAGTTAATATAAAGCATAACTACTTGGCCAAAACTTTCCGGAGCTTCTTCCATAGCTATTGTCATGTTCTCCTCAATGTTCTGTTGCCTGCAACAAACCAAAACCAGGTACATCAAGAGCATTATTGCCACAGAGAGAGATCTGTTTCAAAGCCACAATATTAAAAACAGACTTGTACATCTTCTGTCCCAACTGTAGCAGGTGCCTCACTGAAACAGAAATGGGTGCTCTACCCTGCAGTGTGTGACTGAGTAGGAGGCAGTGAGATACAGAGTTAGCAGAATGTGAAAGGCATACAAATTACTCTCATGAAAATGACTACGTTTGTTTCCTTTACAAGCTCAGAAACACTGAAAAAACTTCTGGAGAGTAAGGGTCACCTTTTTATCCTGTACAGTGTTAGAATGTCATGAATCCTCAGTCTTAACTGAGGATTTACTGGGGATCTGGGTAATTTCCTACATCCAGTGTATTAAACACTCTTTGCAAATATAATACACAGATGTCCTAACTACCTGTGTTGCACCTGCTGCTTAACCTCCAAGACTGGGTTTTCTAATCTGTAAAATGAGGATAATTTTATCATAGGATTGCGGAGATATAGAAAGCATCTATTATTATACAATATCAACATAAGAGCAGATGTTCAAAAACACTAAAAAAATATATATATATATCATCTACCTACCAGCTATCACTTAGAAAACCACACACACATACGAATCACTGTTCATCTGGTCATCAGGTAATTTCTCCAAAAACAGAACATTCTAAGTCTTACATTAGAAAAGCACATAAAGGAGTCCCAGCTTCCTCTACCATCTCATATCTCCATCCTCAACTGCCTTCAAAAAAAAAATAACCAAATATGAAGAACATTAGTGGAAAGTAGGACAAGGGCTAGGCCGTTTACCTGAAGGCCGAGACAGTAACCGAACAGGGTCCAAGGTTGAGACAAATTACACCACAAACCAGGCGCTGGCAAACTATAGCCCACTGTCTGTGCATATAAACTTTCACGGGAGCAGGGCCCGCTGTTCGTTTACATACTGGTATTATCTCTGGCTGTTTCATACCACACTGGCAGAACTGAGTGCTGGCCACAGAGAGAGTATGGCCTGCAAAGCCGAAAATATTTACTATAGGACCCTTATTGGAAAAAGTTTGCTGACCCCTGCTCTAAACTGTCCTTTTTATATTAATAATCTAGCTCAACTGAACTGGTTTTTTTTCAGGCATTCTATTATTAAAATATTAAACTTCTCAGAGACACCAAAGACATAGCTGTTTACCGTAGGCAAATGTGCAAGCTATTATACCTCAGTGTACACAAACCCTGTGTAATCACTGGTGTAGCATACCAAATAAAACTCTAATTGGCATCTGATATAATTACACGGCTTTTCTCCTCAACTATGCTATTAAATTTAGAAATAACCTAAAATTAGCTGTGCACTCCTGACATTGCAATGACAGCAACCAAGGTTAAGTTTCAGCAAAACTCTGAGATAACACCAGCTCCTTTGGCTACTCTGGGCTCTGTATGCGGAGTCCCTTTCACAGGTGCTAGGTTCTCCCCTTTGAAAGACTGTATGCAGTACTCCATTCGCTTGGCCTCGCCCCGAGAAGAAACACGAACCACATGGATATGCCTGATTTCGCTTCCACCCCTGCAGCAGCTCACTGCCATGGTTTGGCTCCGTTGCCTCTCCACACTTCCTCCCACCCCTCATGCTTCCTGGGTTGGACCCAATTATTCCTGAGAATTATGTAAGGTTCCCTTATAGTTGCAATGCGGTCTAGTTCAGAGAACACAAATGTCTTCCTATTGCTCTGGGTGGATTTAACTAGTGAGATGTTTCTCAAAGATATTCGTTAGTTCTGATTAAATTGTTCATGGAATTAATGAGAACACTTAACAAGAACACAAGTGAATGGCTTAAGGCTGTCAAGTGATTCTGGTATACAATTTATATTTCTTTGATTTCAAATGCAGTCAGAGAAATAAGAAAAACCATTATCTGACTTCCAAGTTGACAGTATCATGATCAACTGAAGCGTCATATAAGTACGATGACCAAAGATGATGACAAAGCCCCTAAAAGTAGTATTGGTACAACTATGGTCTTACTTATACTAAAACCATCACAATGAGCCACAAAAACTGAATGGGGGTGATGGCGGTGGTAGGGAGAGCAGCTGTTTTTTTCTTCAAAGGACTGGCTGAACAGCATCTGGCCGGTGACTAGTACTGTGACCAAGGTTAGTGCCACCATAGCTGTTCCTGCTTAGGCCCTATCCCGTAAGACTCAGATTCATCAGTGCTGGGAGTGGCGCTCAAGCACCTGCATTTCTGAAAAGCTTCTAACGTGATTTTAATGCAACCACAGGTGAGAACCACAACATTAGAGCTGGAACTGGAATGTGCTTAGCAGTCAGTTTATCCACCGAGGCGAGAGTAAGAACCACAGAAGGGAAAAGCCTTAGGACTACAAGGCTGCATCTGCAGAGAGCGCTCTCTCCTAAGCTAATCCTGCTCAAGGCCTGGATTTAATCAGGGCTCACTAAGTGTGTCTAAAGAGAGATTCCAATCAGCTCCTGCAGCCAGCCGAGCGGTCTCACCCAACTGGGGGCTTCCACCTGGGCTTGCCTGAATGGCACATCGTGGGCTGGTCAGGGAGTCTTTATTAAAACTTTAGAAAAGTCATTAAGCTAGGTATCTGGTACCTTCGTAATACTCAATCAAAATGTGAGGAAAAAAGCGAATAAAGAAAAAGACTGAAGTTACAATCTCGAGTGCAAAATAAGGAATGTACCTCAAAGCAGATGCCCAACTAATACAAGACAGCCAGCAGGCTGGGAAGTCTGCATCCTCTAACGCTTGCTCTTTAGGTGGACACACCATTACCTTATATCTTCTTCTATCTTTGCCTGAGCTTCAAGATCAAAAGGGTCAGCAGAGAAGAGACGAATCCTCTCTTGTTCTCTCCGGGCTCGGTCCTGCTGCTGCTCCACCAGGACCCTCGAAAATTTCTCTACAAAAGGAAGGGGGGAAAATCTTAAGTACCACCCTATTTTCATTCCTTATTAGTACTTTCCCTCATCAGACAGTTTCTCAAAATACAACTGTAAGAGATGCAAAAAAGATGTCTAAAAATTAAATGAGCAATTACATTTACTTTCTATTCTCTGAGGCAAGAATACTTCTTCACCTTAATTCACTATAAAGAAATAAAGCATTTGGAAAAATCATTTAGTCTTGTAAGGAGCTATCCATGATACTGCTTTTACTTAGCGATAACGACTTTTCAATTTAAATCTGGGAAACGGTATCTGTATAGCAGATGAATGACCCCACTCCTCCCCTCCCCACTGCCCTTATTATTCTATTATCTACAGATAAAATAGAGCACTACAAACCCCCTTTTCCTCTTCCAGTTTCATTTCTTTATAACATTCTCTGCGTTAAAGCAGACAAATTAAATGCAAACTACTGTTAGCCTATCAATATTACGCGATGGGTAATAGGCAGGAAAATTAGTAAAGAGAAAAAGGTAGCTTGCTATAAGATATGTTACAAAAACCACCTCTATTTTGCGATTTCCTAAGTAGGGGGTGCACTTAAGTGTGTAAACTTCAATGTGCCATCATCATGGCCTTTGGCAACTGTGAAAGAAATGAAAGAAACCAAGATAATGGTCATATGAATTAATACACACAATATAGATGAATCTAAAAAACATGAAGCTGAGTGAAAGAAGCTGGACATGAGATGACACACCGTATGATTCCATTTACACGAAGATCAAAAATAGGCAAAACCAGGACTATCAGAAAAGTGGCAGCCTGCAAGGGGAGGACACTGACGGGAAGGAAACACAAGGGGAGTGCGGAGAGAAGCGCGCTGCCCCGCACTGGGGCGGTGGGTGCACGCGTCGGCCAGAACTCGACGAACCCTATACGGGAAACACGCCTATTTCTCTGTAGGTAAATAGTACCTCAGTTTACAAAATGGTTATTGAGGAATGAGTTATTAAGTATGTTATGTGTTTAAATTTAATCAATACAGTTTCATAAACCTGAATAAAATTAGAAAAATTTACAGAGAAAACTTTATTCATAAAGATGACTAAAAATAAATGCCCTGTTAAATGAAAGACGGGCTCAAATACAGCTCCAAATAAACTGTTGGTGATAACTCATCTTTCATTGAACTCAAGGTGGATGAGCGCATGGGGGTTCCGTTTTGCCGTACCAGCTAAAGGCGCCGGACCTGTTTCCCGGGACCGAAATGCATCAGCAGGTTTCCTGGTGCTCTCTTTAATTAAAGGCCTAACCAAACAGGTTAAAATAGCCGTACCTGGGGTATGTGCTGCTAACATAATTAGGAAAACAGTGTAAATGGAAGGGGCTTGTTGAGCCGGACTTCAGAACTCTGTGCAGCCCTAAAATTCTGTCACTGCTCTCGACTGACTCAGCCCCTGACACCAGCACTAACTTACCTGTCCTAGGCCGACTGATACGTTCAATGAATCCCGGGACACGATGGGCCGAACACACAAGTCGCCTGAATTTCTCCACATTTGCTGTAATACAACTACTTCACCTCAGGTCAGCTCGACAGCCTTTCAGATTTAGCTTACCAAGATCTCCACTGAGCAAGGCATCTGCCAGGGGTGGATTGCGTTCCTTCAACAAGGACAGCTCATGGGGGTTGGCCAGCAACATGTCTCGGAGCAAGGCTGGATTGTCCAAGCCCTGAGGGGATGAAGCTATGTCTCCGGGAGGCGAGTGGGACCGCTGTGCTCCTGGAGGCTGCCGCTGCCGGGGGCTTGATGTGCCAGGCACAGCTATACTACGAAAGTCTATTCGGGGCAAGTCTGTTGGGGAAAATTGATTGTTTACTTCAAATGATCCATAAAAGCAAGCATCTGAGGGAAACAGCAAACATTTGCTCCTACATGGTATGTGACCGTGGTCAGTGGTAATCACGGACGCTCCCATGCCCCCTCCCTGGGCTTGACTTTCTCGTGTTGACTCTGAGTATAAAGACTGCGGCCTGGCAGTGATCAGGCAGGAAAGGGTACAGAGCAAGGAGGGGAGCAGACTCCGGAGTGACCCCAATGTCTGGCTTATAAAGTACCATAGATGTTTTTATTTATTTTTGCTTAAAAAAAAATTAAAGGTAGTCTCAAATGTAACTACAAAAATTTGGATTTTTCCTAAGAAAAACCCTGGTCTGCTTTGACATATGCTTCAAAGCGCCCTGACGCCTCGGGTAAGAACACTGCACATATCAAGAACACTGCACAAGTGAGTAGCGTAAATGTTAGGTGTTAAATGCTGCAAGTCTGTGCTACACATACTAGGTCTTTGAATTACACTTTCATCTGTGCGTCACTGTTAATCCTTCTCACAGCCCCAGGGAGCCAGCAGGTGTAATCATGGTGCAGGAGAGAAAAACAGGAGAGAAGAACTTGCACAGGTTCTCAGTGCTGGGTCCACTAGCAGACACAAGTGTTTAGGCTACAACTCCCCGCTTCTTCACTCCAGACTGAGCTGACTTCATTAAAATGAAAGTAAAATGAAAGGGAGCCTTACACAGAGGACCCAAATATTGTATGATTCCATTTATATGAAATGTCCAAACAGGAAAATACATAGAAGACGGAAAGTAGACTGATGGTTGCTCAGGGCTAGGAGGCTTGGGGGTGGGTGAGGAACGACAGGGTTTCTTTTTAAAGGGATGAAATGTGCTAAAGCTGATTGTAGTGATAGTTGTATAACCCTGAATATACTAAAGATCATCGAACTGTATTCTTTAAATGAGTGAATTGTACAGCATGTGAATGATCTCAATAAAGCTGTTACTTAAAAAGAGTTTTATTTTTAAAAAGGAAGAAGAAAAGAGAAGTAGAGCCAGAATAAGGGGCTAGGACTGAATGAATCCGCATTTCTCCAATCCCCAAACATATCTGAAAGTCACACTTGTCCCAAGTCTGGGGCTATCCTGACGCTCTTTGGACCTCAAATAGCAGGAGGAAACTTACACTCAGAGGTTTCTGCCTCTTGGTCTGAGTTCATTTAGCCACTTTCTTCAAACAGACCTTAGCTGGCGGCTAGTAGTGCACACACATGTATGAACTTCCAACCAATGAAAAGGTGGAGTGAATGGCACGATCTCTGTGAGGTAAACTATTCCAATTAGCAAACACAGGCGGGCAGGCCTGCTTTGTGGGCTGAGAAATTTCATCTCCAACCGCGTAAAACTTATCTTGAGAATCTACTCATTCAGAGTAATTGTGAAACACTTGTTTACCTTACAGACCAGATCCCATCCTTTCCCCCACCTATTGGCTCTTCTGTCCACATGGGATAGTACAGGAAAAAACAAAACAAAAAGCAAAAACCAAACAGTAGGTCTCCACAACTAACAGTCTCACCAAATTAATCCAAGAAATATTTCATTTTTACTGACTGGCATACTTGAACCACTACTGTTTCTAGAGTTTAACAGCAGCCCCAAGGGAGTAATGTGATCCAACCCTGGGAGGGACTCTGTGCGATGATCTCTTACAGCCCTGGTTTCAGGCTGAATGGAAGCACTGTGTTCTCAGCTGGAGACTGTAATCACCCAGACATCTATCAGATGTGACCACAAATTTTAAAACCAAGTGACCTGTAGACTAAATACTGTTTTAAAGCAATCTACCAGGATGTGATAGGGAATGCAGAAACACACATTTCACCAGGAAGTTCCCTATCAGAACCTCGTCAACGTTGGCAGATCATAAACCCCTTCGAGTATCCTAAGCAAGCTATGAACTCTGTCCCCATCAAATGCCCACACACACACAATTCTGTTTATTTGGGGGACACAGAAATGTCCTAAATCCCAGTGCACAGGTTCGAAGTTATAAATACCTACTCTAGGTGGAGCATCTAAGATAAGTTTCTTTTTACATGATTAACAAAGCTGGTGAGAAAGAAAAGAAATTGGTGGTCTAGCTGCCTCATGTTCATAAAGCTCAATGTAATGGAAAAAGCACCAAATTTAATTCCTAGGCCTTCACTTATTAGCTATGTAACTTGGAAGACATTTTTTTAATAGCAGAGTTTCATCTGTTATTGGAGTAAGCTGTAAAGAGGAATCTCTACCCTTACAACCTGACTTAAGAGATCATGCGCAAGTGCCCAGTGCTGACTGCAAAGGCCTGGTACTAAATTCCAGACACAACGTAGCAAAAGCCAGCCAGGAATCAAGCGTCTGTAGCCTCTCAAGTCCTTCCCAATGATAAAACTGTCACTGATAAAACAGAAGCTAACTTTTATCGAGGGCTTGCTATGTGCTGAAGGTAGTACGTGCATTATTCTCACATCCACTCCAGGAGTCTGAATCCAAAGCTAATCCATACTCTGAACCACTCCGCTACGCCACCTACTGATGCTTGTGTCAGGGCACGCTAACCCGGTGCGCGATGTCTTACTTGGAAACTGCACGGAAGGTCGGGGGTCTGCAGTCTCCTTCTGTCGTAAAATCACCACGTCTCCATCTTTCAAGCCGTAAGAAGCCAGGGACCTGTGGTTGTCCGTGAGAGGTCTTTCAGCATAGACAATCTACAACGAGAAAAGATATAACAGTACAAAGCACTGAGAAGTACCACGGTACAAAGAAGACAGACCGGTTTTCTTCTTCAACAGATAATGAATGTTACTTCCTGCTTCGAACCCTCCAGCCGTTTCCCATCACACACAGAATAAAAGCCAAAGCCCTTCCCCGCACCTCTAGGCCCAAACAGTGTGGCCCCGCTCCCTCTCCAACCTGATCTCGCAGCACGATTGCCATGATTGCTGCGTCTCAAACCAGGACTCCCCTCTCCCCTCAAGGCTGTTCCACCCGCTCTTCTCTCTGCCTAAGGAATGTTCTCTCACCAGCTGTTTTTAGATCTCTGGCCAAACATTACCTCTTCAGAGACCTTTCCTAATCACCGTCACCTAACATATATATTTATTTCTGTACTGTCCTCCTGCCCCGACTACTTGAGGACATTGACCTTGCTTTGCTTGCTCTATCTCAAACGCCTAGAACAGGGCCTGTTAGGTAAATAATGCCCAACTATTTGTTGAGTTAAAGGATGAATGAATCTATGAATGTAGCGGATAAAACGTCAGATTTAATTTTGAGCAGGGAGGGAAATGGGAACAATTTATTCTAGGTATGCAAACTACAATACTATTAAATAATGTGTCCACTTCCTCCTTCCCCCAGGAGTAGAGAGAATTGATACAAAACCTGTATTAATTTTAGATACACGACATGATGGTCTGATATAGGTTTATTTTGCAAAATGTTCAACACAACAGGTTTGGTTAACATTCATCACCTCACAGTTACACATTTTTTTCTGGTAATGAACTTGTAAGATTCACTATCTTAGTGACTTTCAAATATATGATACAGTATTAACTTCAGTTACTTCGCTATACATTGTATCCCAATGTATTCATTTTTAGATGATGTTGCACACTAGTAAGTCTAAAAGATTCCCAAAGACCAACTTTCCTGCATTCTTTTTTCTTAAATATACCCAGTTTTATCACTCATGCTTATAAGGGGAAGACACGCCAAAAAGAACAATTAAACGCAGATGGAAAAAAAGAACAGGGAGGTACTACCAATAAAAATATTTTTTTGATGTGCAAACACTGAATAAAGCCTGAGAGCATAAAAATAGGTGAAACAATATGCTCTGGAAAGAACAGGAACACGGAGAAGGCACGCTGTACGTGCACCACGAAGGAACATGAAACCTCCCTGCACCATTCGACTCCAGAGGGGCGTTCAGAGTCAACTCGGGCTCTGAAAGGTTTTCTACCCCACCGTTCGTTCGCTTTCGCCAGGCCACATGCAGGCCGAGAACCTGAGTTCTGTCCCAGCCCTGATAGGGCCCGTCACTCAGCTGGTCCGGGCTTCACATTTCCCATTCGTTACGCAAGCGCCCGGGCCAGGTAACCACTGCAGCTCTCTCTTCCAGGTCCTTCGGCCACACTACCATTTCACCATGCTTCCTCACATGTCCCCATAACTCTTCACAGGTAAGACTGCCTGACATCGAACGGGAAAAATACAGGACTTAAATTGGATTTAAACAAGAAAAAAAAAATCTGTCGTATCTGCTCCCAGAATTTGCAGTGAAATAAGGAACAGAACTAACAGGGAACTGAATTTAGTTCCCTCCAAAATAAAAAAGTTCTGGGGATGAGTAAAAATTGATTTGCAGAGTTTGAAGATCCAATTATACTTTCTAAGTTCTACACGTGACTAGAAAAGTACTGTTAGTTCTTTCCCTCACCTGCAAACTTAAGAAACGTTACAGGAAGTTACAACTGTCACTATCAACCTATTCACACTAATTTAAGTATACATCTCACTGTAAAAATACACAAGAATCAAAAACAAACAAAAATATATACACCAGAATCAGATTGTGTGCAATACAACCTAAGTGTCTTTTATAACTTATAGGACTGCTTGGAAAAACCACCCTAAATCTAAAGTGACACCTGTCACAGGTTGAGGAGGGCAGACCAAGAGCAGTGCCACGCAGGTGGCTCTCACAAGGCGGCGCCAACATGGTGGAGCCACCGCAGTGAAGCCACCAGCAGCCTAAGGCCCACTTCTTCATTTTACAGGCTCAGAAGTTCAACAATCAGTACACTTAGAGATACACAATCAGTCCACACATTCCAACTGTACTTGTAAGAGAACATTTATTTATCTCGAACAAGAAACTGAAAGCAGGAGAATCAGAATGCTCCTATCCACAAGATCACTGAATTTTTTTTAGGCTGGAAATACTAAACAGAAGCCCTTACTGAAACAGTAGACAGCGAGCTACCTGAAAGCTTCTACGAATAGCCAGCATCACACTAGGTCAGTGCCTTTCAACCTGTTCCACCTCATGGCACACATGAACTCATTACTACGATTCTGTGGCACACTAAAAAATAATTTTTTGCTGGTTCGCCAAAAAAAAAAAAAAAAAGTAAAATTTTGATTCGTTCACACCAGAAGACTATTGTGTTGGCTGTTGTCATTTCTTAATTTGACAATGAAAAAAGGCCAGTGCCCCTGACTAAGCAGTCAGGAATTGCATGTTTTAAAAAGTCTGGCAGCACACTGGTTGAAAATCGCTGCAACTGGTTCTTCATCTCCCACTTAATTGTCATATCCTTTCACTTAAGTCTCATAATCAGCTGAAGAGGCAAGCATTATTATTTGTCCCGTTTTAAGGACAGGGAGAGTGACCAGGGGCTACCCCGCTGCTGAGAGCGGTGGGAGTGGAACTACATCGGAGGACTTTAAAGCCCATGCTCTTGCCTAGTACCGCACACAAGTTCCCAAACCTCAGCCCGGAGGGGTCTGGGAAGTCAGCTGGTCACCTTAACAAGAGCGACTAAGCTGTCCATCGCGACAAGGGCCTGTACTCACCAGGGGAGAATCAGAGCAGTATCCTCTGCCCCAAACACCGAGAAAGGAACACCACCGACTCCTCACTGTCTGGACGCCCATTTTCCAGGGGCCATACACCACTCCACTGTTCAGTCAGCCCAGTCTTTCCTCAGAAGACAATGTAACTTTTTGTAAAGGAGGGCAGCCTGATCTAACAATAAAAGTGTAAGATCCAGGTAATCACTAACGTCAAAGGTGTATACAAAATATGGAACACTGCTATCTGCCCCAACTTCCTAAAAATACTAGACTGGAGAATGCAGGCGAGAAGGAAACATTCTTCACAATGACAAAGTGGCAGACATGTTCCATTTTAATCCAAGGACACAAAAACAAACGCTTAGATGAAATTATCACTGCTGCAAAGAACTAATCTCTTTGTTAATACAGGCTTAAGAGTCTAAGAAAGACAATTATTTTGCAGCTTAAATCCTAGACCAAACCTGAACAACTTTCTTAGCATGAGTATCCCTCAGACCATGGTTTCAAATTTTTACCAGCCCAACAACATGGGTTTTGGGAACGACACCAGTGATGCTTTCTGCCACTCTTGCTGCCCACCTCAAAGGCTGCCTACGAAGCTCAAAATTCAAGTGCTGACAGTTATAAGAACACGCAGCAGGGCAACTCATACAGGGACAGGTCTTAATCTGCAAAAGTGGCACAGCTGCTGGTGCTCACTCCAGGAGGCACCCTGGAGACTGGATTCTAACCTTAATAAACGTTTAACGATAATCCAATTCATACAGCTCCAAGACCTTTAAGAATGATGTCAAATGGTTTGTGGTCTCTGAATGAGTGCCTTCAATCAGCAGATGTCCTAACATTATTTCTAGCATAAAGGACCATGAACTAGCCACGAAACGCCTGGAATCACACCTGGCTGCCTTCCTAATATCTGCTGTGAACTGAAAGCTGCTGTACGCCAAGCGAGCCACATACACTATCCCACATAATAGCTTGACTTTTTACAACACTTCTGAAGATCACTTGGCAACAGTTACTGAAGATAGGAAATTGTCCATACAGTCCAGGCCATCATGTTTAAAAGACACATTTTAATTATGTAAAGGAAACAAGAGATTATTAAAAAATACACTAAAAGGTAAACTGCAGTTATCTCTGAGTTACAAGATAATAAATAATTGCATTCCAGGAAAAAAAAAATGCATGAAAATTACCTGCAAAAATAAACTTACCAAAACCAACTACAATAGAAAATTTCAGTTTCCAGTGGTTTAAAATAGAGTTTTACAAACCACAAATCATGCTGTGATCAGTTACTGCTGTTACTTGGCACTTAAATGACTTTGATTTCAGAGTCCTGCCATGTTCTGCACCCTTTTTACATGCCACGTGCAGGGGTATATTAGAACAATGTTTCAAAAATACAAGAACATTCAAGTGAAGCTCAGTTCTGATAACTGTTTGAAGTTTGCCCAGCCAAGTCTGTAACAAAGCACCGAACAGAGCCAGGACTGGGTTCCAAGCCCACACTTGTATGAAGAGAGGGAACATGCCCAGCTTTAATCCCATGTACACGTAGAGATGGTTTCTATTCTGAATGTCATCACCGGACTATTACTGTAATCAGACCAGAGATGTTAAAAATTAGCACCTTTCCCAAGTTTATGCTTATGCACAATTAATGCTGTTGTGAAAGACTCAATTCTCAACCAGGGATCCTCAATGCAAGATAGTAATACTTTAAGGGTATACAAAGAAAATAGAAAAACATTAGAACTTCCATTTATTTTTATCCTTCCCTAAATTCTATTCTGTGCCCGTTTTTAACGTACATAAAGTATTACCTCATGTATATGTAATTGTTTAGTTACATACATGGAATATATACATATAATGCACATAACATTAGTCTGTATACATAACACTTTATATATGTCACAAAGATGCACATATCAAAACATTTTACTCAGAGGGATATATGACTGCAAGCTTGGAGACCAGTGTTCTGGACACACAGTGACAAGAATAGCCAGGAGCATAAAAAAAGATATATATACTCTCTTTAAAAATGGAAGTGAAGGACAAGAATGTAAACAACAAGAGTGAGGTAAAGAGACCAGAACTATGAGAAGGAGGAAAGGAAGATGAGTAATGTGGGAGAACCCTGGGAAGTAAAGGTCGGGAGGAACCTCAAAGTGAGTAAAGACGATCTGTTTGCGGGCAAAAACTATAATGATGTTTACTATTATGATTTGGTGAAAGGAAATGACTCAAGTGTCTAGGGTGGATCCTGTTCCCGCCTGATGGGCTGGCAACTGAAAGGCAACCGACCACCACGCAACTTAAAATAGAGACTGTGTTAGGTTACAATAGAGCCAACAGAACAAGAAAAACAGGAGTTGTTTACAGCTCTGTAATACAGGCTTAATGCTGGTCGGAGCCCAGGCTTCCATATGCTAATTTGGCTTGGGATGGAAGTAAATGCCAAAATGTTGACCCAGTGCATAAGAATTTGGAGTTGGCCTAGTTGTTCGATTGGTAAGGTATTCCTAACATCCTGAGCTGGCAGAGGACACTCCTGCTTTGACCATACAATTAATTGTTTTTCAATCTGACACCATCTTTAATTTTTTGTTACATCTGTCTTCTCCCAAGCCCTAAAAACAGTGAAATCAATTTACATTTCAATTTTTATTTCCCCTACCAGCTGGTGATTATAACCAGGGCAATATGACAGCCAAAGAGGAGAGAACAATGAGGGGAAAACCACCTTCAAAAATGTAATAGTTAGCCCTGGCTTGTGTGGCTCAGTGGGATGAGCTTCAGCCCCCCATCCCAAAGGTCGCTGGTTCAATTCCCAGTGAAGGCACAAGCCTGGGCTGAAGGCCAGGTCCCCAGCTGTGGTGTGCGAGAGGCAGCTGGTCGGTGTTTCTCTCACACAGAGATGTTCCTCCCTGCCCTCTCTCTAAAAAATAAATAAAATAGTTCAAAAACAAATTTAAGAGTTAGGTGGGGAGGGGGTGGGTGGAGGTGGAAGAGGGTATGAGGGAGATAAATGGTAATGAAAAAAAAAAAGTTACCTACAAAAGAAAATATGAAGAGTTAATTTTCTCTCCCTAGTTAAACTGTCCTTTCCTAGCTTGAAGGATTCATTGACAGGAACTGGTCCCTGAGTTTTTGTGGTTTAGCTTTTTACAGGAGTTGCAAAAAAATCCTTCACCATTTTCTTGTAGCTTTTGCCAGACTGCATACTTGAGTGACACTGTGCCCTGAAATAAATTTTCTTGATATCCAGCTTTATGCCAAAGTTCGAAGTTCACACAGTGTAAAGGAATCATACTTACGAAGAAAATACTGACCCAGCTGTAGTTGGGCAATAGTTTTTGGAACTATTTCATAACTGCAGTAGGAAATCCAGATTTATATTCTGGGGCCTTTGAGAACTTTTCTAATTTTCTTAATACTTAGACTATGTCCACCAAGAGCCGCTTATCAGGTCAGGACTTAAATGTTAGAGTGAAGGCCACAGCGTTATTGTCACCAGTTCTGTTTGCTGGCAGCCCCAAAGCATTTTGAGAATAAATTACTTAACGTATTAAAAAGGTAAGAGCAGCTGACCTTCTACTCAGCAGGGTAGGGAATTGAAAGCAAATCACACTGAGACGATAGCAGGCCATTTTAAAGCAAACGTCCTCATAAAGCACTGAGCTTTGAACTGACCCAAACTCTCACCTGTGACCTGAAAGGAGGGATTCTGGCCTCCTACCACTGAAAAGATCAGAGAAACAAATAGTCTGAACTGCACTAATAATTGCTCTTCTTTTTTGAAAGAATTTACCCAGAAACGTAAGTAGTAGGGAAGCGAGCATTTCTAAAAGCCTCGAAACGAGGTAGTGCCAGTCTCAAACTTCCTCCTTCACTTAAGAGTGCAAACCTGTTCATTTAAAGGTAAATTATGTCTACTTAACCAGGAACCTTTCCAAAAGTGCGGGTGAACGCCTATCTACCAGGGATCCAAACTGGTATTTCTGGTTGGGGAAGCAGGATGCCTGAACTCTTGCAAACCTAGGGCTTCTTTTTAGGTCCACGACGACACCCCAGACTGGGGACGTTAAGGGAGAATGGGACACAGAGCCAGGAGGTAGGGCGGGCCGCCCAACAGTCCACGCGCCCCTCAGGCTGCAGCGGGTGCATCTGAGGTCAGGTTCTCCGCTTCCTCCACTAGCACCGCACCCCACCCCATCGCACGCTGGGCTCGTGTGGAGGCAGCCACCGATTCCAGCTCCCTCCCGGATGCGGGGGCGAGCTGAGAAACGGCCATCCTCTCCCCGCCCCCAATTCTTCACCAGGAGCAAGGAAGGGCGTGAGGCCCCGAGGCGGGAGGGCATGCTCCGGAGGGAGGCCCGCTCGCCGCCCGGCGTACCTGGCTCTCGGCTGCGGGGATGCCGGACTCGAGCTCGCACAGCGCGCGGAAGTTGTGCAGCTCGAAGTCAGCGTCGACCTGGAGGGAAAAGGTCACCTCGGAGAGGTCCCTCCGCACACAGTACACGGTGAGCAGCATGGCCCGGGCCCGACCCAGCTCGGTTCGGCTCGGCCCGGCCTCGGCGCGGGGCTGCGGGCGGCGGCAGGGCCTGGCTGGTGCTGCGGACGGCCGGCGCGGGGTGCGGGCTCGATCGCTCGCGCCTTCCCTCCCTCACACACGCTCAGCGACTTACTCCCTCCCGCCCTCACCAGCAAGCACTGCCGCCACCACCCTCCTCCGACTCCGTCTGCCACCGCTGCCGCCAAGCGCGCCCGCCGCCCAGCGCCCCGCCCCGCCGCAACGCGGCTGCCGTAAAGCCCGCCTGGCCCCCTCTCCCTTTGCGACACAGCGGAGGGGCGCTGCCGGCAAGGGTGGCGGGAAGCCAGGCGGGTATCGGAGCGGGTGTGGGAGAATGGGCGAGGAAAGAGGAGGGAGTGAGAAAGAGCGTTGATTGATTGATGTAACACCTGAAGTCTGTGGAGGACTCCAGAATACCTTTTATGCATCCAACGGGCCTACCATATTGGAGACATGTGTAAAAATAAAGTCCCTTAAGGACTTTTAAAGCAAGTACAGGAGACTGACAACTAAGCAAATAGTTCTAAAACATATTTTCCGAAGTAGAGATTGAGGCTCAGAGAAATTAATTCACTTCCCGTCCCGATGATTTAAGGTTAAAACCAAAATCATTAGCTTCCCTGGTCCCTTGAATCCCGCTCACTGTGGCCCCGGCTTCCTCCCCAGCCCCGCCTCAAGAACCATCCTACACTCTTCCCTCCCAGCCGCTTCGCGGCTTTCAGTTCCAAGAAGGCTCCATGCCCCTGCCTTGGGAAGAGTTTCTCTCTATTTGGGTTGTCTCTTTCCTAGCCCTGGTGTACCCCAGCACCTAGTGCCGTGCATTCGCTGGGCTTAGAATCCACTGGATAAAATAATTTGCTACTTGAATGGCTTGTTTAAGGCCACATAGCTGATGAGTGATAGAGGCTCAGAACATGAGGAGGAGTCAGAAAACCAAAACAGAAAGAGGAAGATAAAATGGATGCAAGATTGGCATCTCCCTATTTAACCCCCTCTCCCCAATCCGTGGAGTAGGGATCCCTCTTCTGATGGAAGGGAAGGAGGAAGCAGGATGGCATGGAAGCAGCTAAGTAGGTATGCTACCTTAGAAGGAGTAGCCAGAGGGGAAATAAAGGCAGTAAGGAGGGAAGCCCTTGAAATCCTATGTATCATCTCCTGCTACCTGAGAAAGAAAGCATTTTAAACTGTGCTTTCATCCCAAGGCCTAAAAGGCCAGAAAGGGCTCACAGTACCCGAAGGAAGAAGCCCATTAACACCTTTGGGTATTCATGTCCCCCCCCCCCCCCCCCCCCGCCCCCAGAGCTGGCCTTACCTGTCAACCAATATGCAACCCCTCACCCTCTACCACCACCTTTGTAAATCCTCAGAACAAAGGACTGGAGGTGGAGGGACTTGGCGCTCTAGGGTCTCTGGCCACCTGCGCACTTGCCACCCTGGCCTTTGGCCACCCTTACTCTGCTTTGCCTTGAACCTATGTCTTCCCCTCACTACCTTGACAAGGCCATTCTCTTCCATGAGAACATATCACCTTTAAACCCTGCTGTACACTAATGGATTTGCTGATCTGCAATTCTTCATGTCATGGGCAAGAAGAACCAGCTCTCTCCTGGTACAGGAAGGTTAGGTGGCAAGAAAGTCAGAGAATGGCCCCTGAAGACTTTTCTCTGTAAAGGATAAGGGAAAGTCATCTGTGCAGAATAAAGAGAGAAGGTGGAGGAGCAGGGGGGCCTTTCCCTGAGCGTCGCAGTATGGCCAGCTGCCTCCATTCCATGCATCATTTTCTTGGTCAAGTCTAGAACTTGCCAGGAAGTGCCCCAGTAGGTTTCTGCTTATATCTCACTGGCCAGAACGGTGTCACATAGATGCAAAAAAGGCTAGGAAAGTGAGTGTTTAGCTTTCCTCACCTCCTTAAAGGACATGCATGGACAGGGACAGGGAAAAAGGGGTTAGGAATGGGCGTTATGTGGCCCAGTACGTAGTATCTACTACAGCAGAGAAGGTTTGAAATAACCATTGCCAAGTTGAAACAAGTTCAGCAGAGAAACGATGTAGGATTGCCAGGCGGCATCAAGGATTCAGTTGAAATTGGAATCATGAGTTGATTAACTTTTACGTTACTTTTTTTCCTAGTAGCGCTCAGGCGTCCAAGCATGACGGGTTTTATTTTCCGAAAATGGCCATGACAGTATCTCCCATTTTATAAGGTCTTCCTACAATGATATTGTGACATTTAAGTGAAGGTATATGTCCTTCCATTTGAATCATGGCAGACAGACTCTGGCATAAGTGTCATTGTATGACTTCTGAGGCTAGGTCATAAAAGCTGATGTAGCTTCCACCTGGCTCTTTTGGAACACCTGCTCTTGGAACCTAGAAGCCATGCTGTGAGGAAGCCCAAATTACCCCAGGTAGTGAGACAACAGGGAGCAGACATGTGTAGATGTTCCAGGTAACAAACTAGCTGAGATCAAAGCCAATTATCAGGAAAACCCACCAAACACATCAAGGAAGACACTTCTTGTTGATTTCAACCCCAGCTCTTGAGTCATCCCTAGCCTTTGAGTCTTTCCAACTGAGGCCCCAGACACCACGGAACCATCTCTACTATACTCCCTTGGAATTTGTGACCCACAGAATCTGTGAGCACAATAAAATGATTATTTTATATGAGTAACTTGGGGTGGCTTGTTACAAAGCCACAATAACTGGTACACTGAATAAAAGCACAACCAATCAACTCCTTAAAAAAGGAGAGAACGTTTTATTGCAGCATAACACACAAAAAGAGAAGTCCATTATTTTAAGTTTATAGTGAGTTTTCACAAACTAACCACATTCGTGTGTCCAGAACTCAGTTCATGAAACAGAACATTCCCAGTACCTCAAGAGCCCTCCTTACACTCTCTCCTAAGCACTAACTCTCCCTCCCCAACCCCTTATGAGTGTAAATGTTTTAAAAGTTCATACTGTCCAGATATAAATCCTCACATTTTTATAGTCAATTAATTTTTGACAATGGTGCCAAGACAATATAACGGGGGAAGAATAGTCTCTTCAACAAATGGTGTTGGGACAACTGAATCTCCACATGGAAAAAAAAATTGAAGGTGGATCCCTCCCTCACACCATATATAAAACTAATTCAAAATCACAGACAAGTGTAAGAGCTAAACTATACAATTCTTAGAAGAAAATACATAAGTAAATCTTTGTAACCTTGTATTATACAAAACCTTCTTAGATATGACACCAAAAGCCCATGAAAGAAAATTTAAAAAATAGTTAAGTTGGACTTTATCAAAATTGGACACTTTTGTGGTTCTGAAGACACCATCAAGAAAGTGGAAAGACCGCTTATTGGTGTGGCTTAGTGGGTTGGGTGTTGTCTTACAGAGTGAAGGGTTGCAGGTGCAATTCCCAGTCAGGGCACACGCTTGAGTTGAGGGCTGGGTCCTAGGTTGGGGCTGATTGATGTTCTCCTCAAACATTGACATTTCTCTCCCTCTCTTTCTCCTTCCCTTCCTCTTTCTCTAAAAATAAATAAATAAATAAATAAAGTCTTAAGCCCTGGCTGGTGTGCTTCAGTGGACTGAGTGCCGGCCTGGGAACCAAAGGTTCGAATCCCAGTCTGGGGCACATGCCTGGGTTGCAGGCCAGGTCCCCAGGAGGGGCTGTGTGAAAGGCAGCCACACATTGATGTTCCTCTCCCTCCTTTCCCCTCTCTAAAATAAGTAAATAAAATCTTTTAAAAAAAGAAATAAATCTTAAAAAAAAAAGAAAGTGAAAAGAAAACCCACAAAATAGGAGACAATATTTATAAATCATGGTAAGGACTTGAATCTAAAATATGTAAAGAACTCTTACAACTCAAAAATAAAAAGACAACTTAATTTTTTAAATTTATAAGATTTTAAGATATTTCTCTTATGAAGAGAATTTCTTCTTTCTTCTAAAGAAGATATATGAATGGCCGACATGAAAAGATGCTCAACATCATTAGCTATCAGAGAAATGCAGATCAAAACCATAATGAGCCCCAGCTGGTATGGCTCAGTGGCTTGAACAGTGGCCTGCGAACCAAAAGATCCCTGGTTCAGTTCCTGTGCACATGCCTGAGCTGTGGGCCAGCACACAGGAGGCAACCTATCCGTGCTTCTCTCACAGGTGATTTTTCTCTTTCTCTCCCTTTCTTCCTCCCTTCCCCTCTCTCTAAAAATAAATAAATAAAATCTTTAAAAAAATTTTTAAAACTGCAATGAGCTATGATTTTACATCCACTAGGATGACTATGATAAACGGTGGTGAGGATGTGGGGAAATTGGAAACCTAACACAGCGCTATAGGGAATTTTAAACGGTGCAGCTACTTTGGAAAACAGTTCTACAGTTCCTCAAAAAGTTAGGCTTAGGATCATCATATGGCCCAGAAATTCCCCTACTAGGTACACACTCAAGAAAAATAAAAATACATATGCACACAAAAACTTGTACACAAATGTTCATAACAGCATTATTCACAATAACTAAGAAGTGGCAACAACTCAAGCGTCCAGCACCTGATGAATTAATAAATAAATGTGGTATTATCCATACAATGGAATAGTATTTGAAAATATAAATACTAACACATGCTGTAACATAGATGAATCTTAAAAACATTATGCTAAGTTAAAGAAACCAGTCACAAAAGACACATATTACATGATACCAATTATATGAAATATCCAGAAAAGGCAAATCCATCAAGGCAGAAAGTATATTTGTGGTTGACTAAGGCTAGTGGGGGACGGAGGAGTCGGGGTTCGTGGAGAGTGACTGCTCATGAGTACAGAGTTTCCTTTTCGGGTGATGAAAATATTCTAAAATTGATTGTAGTAATGGTTATACAGCCATATTAGTAAACTAAAAACCACTGAATGGAACATTTTAAATGGAGAAAGTGTATGATATGTGATCTCTATCTCAACAAAGCTATTAAATTTTATTTTAAAGTGCACATTGGCTGCTAAATGGAGAATGGGTTTTAATGGGGCAAGGAGAGGAACGGGAAAATGTTTAGGGGGCTGCAACAGGCGTCTAGATGAGAGAAATGATGCACTAGAGAGGTGGTAGT